TCAGTTGTGTGTATAGATTTTTTCTAACCTAATTATTTAGCAACCGTTCCTCTTTTTTAGCATTAAGCCACGATTCATGGCTCTTACATTTTGAACAGAGCGACTGTCTCATACAGGACATTGAGCATTTTTACACTGTTTGATTTCAATCACAATGGATAGTCTCCCATTAGCAATGTGCCCACCGAAATGTCTCATCACTGCTGCAATCTCTGTGGGACACCATGGAGATTTTTGTTTCCTTTGAGGATTTTCCCCATCCGCACCATTTTCAGGAAATGCTAAAAGGAGGAGAGAAAATAAGATCAACTTACTTGTGATATGTTAACTATAAAGCTATTATAAAGGTACTCTTTAAGAACAATAGGGACGTAAACATCAAAGCCCTTTCATGGTACACATATCAAAAAGAACTCCAGGTACATAAACACAGCATTTTTTAACTGGTTTTAAATAGCTGTGGGGCTTTAGGTTTACACTGGGCTTCGTCTTTTTGCCATGTTAGATGAAGACAATCTCTTAAAAGCTACATTCTGACCAGCACATCAAGCTCATTTAAAAACAAAAAACTCAAAGGAAACTATTAAAGATAAAACTTCTATGTGAAAGCCACAGGACACCGAAATACAAAACGACTGTCATTTAGGGCAGCGGTCTCCAACCTTTTTTGCGCCACGGACCGGTTTATGCCCGACAATATTTTCACGGACCGGCCTTTAAGGTGTCGCGGATAAATACAACAAAATAAAACTAGTACCGGTACCGAAAAAAAGAAGATTTATTCATAACACACGTGAAAAGACCCAGGAAAACCGAGTTAACGATAAAAACGATAACAAAATAACGCTCAAAACCGATAAAAACCCTGAAAACACACCTGAGCCTCAACTCTCGCGGCCCGGTACCAAATGACTCGCGGCCCGGTACCGGTCTGAGGCCCGAGGGTTGGGGACCGCTGGTTTAGGCTCTAAACCACACTACTATAGAAAAACAGTAACTGACATTTGTTTCCATCCAGTTTCAACATATCATACTTAATGTTTTTCTTTTTTCCACTTTCAATCATAAAGAATTTTTTTCCGCTTTGTCCTCTGATTCTTTTACTTAGCTTGTCAAGAAAATTATTCGTCATTTCCCCCACTCTTATTCTCATGCGATTTTGTTCTGTTCTTGTCATGGTCCTGGGCCATGTGGGCCCAGTATTCTTAGTTCCTTGTATTTTTGTATTTCGTTCCTTATTTAGGCCATGTTTCCTGAGTTGCCCTGTTGTGTTGTTCCCTAAGTGTTTTCCCTTCGTGACTCTTACCCCCTGTGTGCCCCTCTGTGTAGTTATGAGCCCTCGTCTCCCCTCGTGTTTTATTCCATGTTTTCCCCCAGCCCGTTATGTCTGTGTTCTCCCCGTGCTCTCTCTCCTCCTGTCTGAACCTCTGTACTTCCTGTTTTACTTTGCCCGTCTCCCGTTAGTGTGGTGTTCACTCTTGCCGTATCTCATTATGATTATCTGTGTCCGTGTGCTCCCACTTCCCTCGTTAACCCTCTGTGTATTTATGTGCATGTCTCCATCAGGTCAGTGTCGCGTCGTCAATGTCTCCGCCCCGAACCTGTGTGTCTTTCTGTGTTCCCTCGGTCTTTTGTTAGTAGTCCCAGTTTAGTTCTGTTTCGTTGTGAACCCTGCAATAAAGCAGTGATTTTGAGTTCAGTTCTTGCCTCCGTGAGTTTTGCGTTTGGGTCCTCATCTGCCTCCACACAGCCAGTTCATGACAGTTCTGGGTGATCAGACATCATGCAACCAGCATTAACTAAAGCTCTAAAGATACCCAAGATGCTTTGAGGATGCATTCAAGATCCAGTGATGGAAGGCAAACATTTGTCTGCTTTCCTCTGAAAGTCAAAACAATCTGTACCGAAGACGATGTAGGACAGTCTACTCTAATGGCATACTCAACAAAACAAGACTCACGAGGAACCTCTCTCTCTTTTGATGAAAATATCAAATATTAAGTATTACGGGTAAAAATTTCCACTTGTTATATCTTGACAGATAATCATCTAAAATGAATGAACAAAAATCCTCACCTTTACAATTTATGCAAATCAATTTCAAAGCAGAAAAGTAAACATTACAAAAGGCACATTTTTTCATTCTTGTCTCTGATGAATACACTACATCATGCATACAGTTCTCTTGAAAAAATAAAGTTCATTAAGTTTGTACCACAAATTTTGAGTGATTTCATGTAATGCAGAAACTCATTTGAGACACTGCAGCCCTTGTGGCATGAATACATCCAGTAGGAGCCAACATTTCAGGGTTTCCCATCCATTGTTTAAGCATGCTTTCTGATAAAGTGACATTACTTTTTGAGCAAAAGAGCATCTGAATAACCGCTCCTCATTTACTTTGAGTTGAAGTATGAGTTAAATCCAAATAAAATCACCTAGCATCGTCTTGATGCATACTCAGTCATCGAGGTCAGTAAATCCCCAAAAGTTGATTCTGTTCATACGGACGTAGCGTTTTCAGTGGAAGAAACATTTCGTCATTCATCCAAATGACTTCTTCAGTCTCATCCAACAAGAACACACAAGTGTTGTTTGGATGTTGATAGTGACTGAAGAGTCTCTTGGATGACTGACGAAAGGTTTCTCCCACTGAAGAAGATACGTCCAGATGAACAGAATCAACTTTTGGGGAAGTCACCTACCTGTTGATTTAAAACCTTAGCAAACTACTGGAAAGCATTTTGTAATTGTTCATTTTAAGAAGAGCCCATCTTTCAATGGATTTACACATTCAAAACACACACAGTCCTCACAATGTATGCACGTTACATTAACCAGCACTGTAAGAACTGTGTCTACCAACCTCACTATCAACATCCAAACAACTATGTTGTGTTATTGTTGCCATAATAACAACAGCAGAAAATTAGTCACCTGGGGCCTGTTCTTCGTACCTCGCTAAGTAAGTTAGCTGGATTTGATTGTTGACGATTTCGCCTGATCTTGGATCGTTCGGTTCTCCGAAGCTCATCCGGGACTTGCTGTCATAGCAACAGATCCGTAAGCGTAAACCTGCTCGGGAGCAGGCTTACTTTATGTAAACAGGATTAGATCG